CATCTGCATAGAGACTTTTGTTTCTTTAGAGCCAGGACCCCTGAGTGGAGGTTGGGCCCATCAAATCTCAGGCTCTTCTCCATGTACCCAGAGCCCAGGCAGAATCTACCAGATATGGTTGCTCTTGGTAAAATACTTGATCTGGTAGAGCGATTGCCTACACATTTGCTGTGTCTCTCAGGTTTCCTTTATAGGGTTATCTGAAGCAGTTAGGAGCACTCTGAGAAAAGCCCACTTCACATATGCCCAAGCCATGAATTCCACCAGCTGAGCCAGAGGGCGACCCATACCCACTGGCTGCCACGTGACCGCACAGTAAATCACCACTGTTTGTACAAGCCTCTCACTTTACATCCACTACTGGAAAAGTAAATACCAGTCCCCAAGATAAAGTTCACAAGCAAATATGGCAGGATTAGGTAGGATGATAAAGGCCAGCAGTCCTGGAAAGCCACCACCTCTGTCTGACTGCAGGCATCACCTTCTCCATTGCTAATCCAGGAAGCCTCGCTGCTCAGGAAAACACTGGCATTCCTCGCTGAAGTGTGCTGTCTTCTAGAAGTGTAAATGACACAGGGCAGCATTTTGATGGTCCCAGTTGTGACCTCTGAAAATTTGTCTGTTGAGGTCCCCACCTGTAGAACCTCAGCCGTACAACCAGGTGTGACTGCCTGTATTTGGAGACAGAATCTTTAAAGAGGTGGTTAAGTTGAAGAAAGTTCTTTAGGCCGGACCCTCGTCCAGTATGACTGATGTACTTAGGAGAAGATTAGGACGCAGACAGACACAGAGGGATGGCTGATGACTCAGGGCGCAGACAGCTACCTGCAAACCAAGGAGGGAGGCCAACCCGGCAGCACCTTGGTCTTGGACTTGTCGCCCTCAAAATTGTGAGGTGATACATTTCTGTTATCTGGCTACTTATTTTTGATACTGGGAATTGAACTCACGACCTCACACTTGCCAGGCAGGCGCTGTGCCCCTGAGCTATTTCCCCGGCAGATTTATGTTTAAACACAGAGTCTGTGGTATTTTATCGCAGCCCCAGAAAATGAATGCGGTCAGTAGACCTGGCCTTCTGCCCGGTTAGGTTCCTTTCCTCGGCCCTTGACAAGGGAAACCCAGCTTTCGCCTGGGTGCATCTGGTGATGTGGAACCTGCAGCCTCACAAGGCAGCTAAGATTTTGTGTCACTTGGGACTGTCAGTCAGAGTGACCAAGAAGGTAAAGCAGTTTAAATGAAACAGGAATATGTTGTCTAAGGAAGACATCTATAAATAGCCTTAGGTCTAGATGATGCCTGGGTCCTGCTGGTGCTGTCTCCCTGGGGGGGGGGGGGGAGTGCTGACCCAGCTATGCAGGGGGTCTTGTGGAGCTCCAGAGTCGCTTCAACTTCCTGGTGCGACTGTAAGGCCCTTCTGCAGCAGAATAGCTGCTAGTGGGGTGTGTGTGTATATGCACGCATGTGCGCACGCTCACACACACATTTGATTTTTACCAAATTGGAAAATCTAACAAAACAGCATATTGTGTCTTTTATGTCATTGGAGTCTGTTAATCAAGGTTCTGTTTAGTTTTGAATGTCCTCAGTTACCTACCTGGAAGCACACACAATCTAAAGCAAAATAGCCAGTGAATTAAAAGTAGATAGATAAACTAAGGGAACAGTGAAAAAATGTAGCCAGAAACCAACACAAGGCCCCTGCTGATGGTAATTGTAATCTTAGCTTATCAGTCACTTATGGAGGAAAGAACTGAGGGCAGCAAAAGAATGATTTAAGACCAGCAGAAACCCACATGTTACGTTTATATTTGCTGTTCAGGACAGAGGGTAGAGAGGTCTCTAAGCTGCCTAATCTGGTTTGAAATTGCAGTCTTCCCCCTCCCCCTCCTGAGGACCTAGGGGTTACAGCTTGCATCTAGATGTACCCGCAGAGCTTCATATGGTCAGAGGTGGAGATTTTAAGAGGTGGCCCAATCTGTGTGTGATGCTGGGGCCAAGGCAGTGATGCGGTGTAAGGGTGTCCCTCCCTGGGTGTGGCTGGCACTGGAGAACATGGTCAGGCTGCCCATGTGTACTTACAGGGATAAGCAGAGGGGCTTCTGCGTGTGAAAGCAGGAGGTCTTGGTAGGAGATGGATCTGAGTGAGACCAGGAGGAGGAGGAAGACGTCAAGATGCGGCTCCAGGTGGCCTGATGGGTCCTTCGGGCACTCGTAGGGGCTGGAGCATAGGAAGCTAGGTGGAGTGTTAGGCCAGATAGGCTGCAGGCAAAGCCATTCTGCAACCTAGTCTTGTTTATCTCACCAGCTATGGTTTACTCTCCCCACTGCATCACAAATACTTTCTGATATGAAGCAAACAAGTGCTTTCCTTAAGTCTATCTCTACAGACTATCATTTTCTTTTGGCAGAAAAAAAATGATTATAGCAACATTAATTACTTCTCATGCCTTTAAAAAGAACCAGGCAACTCTGATTTATCTACATGTAGCTTCCCAGCAGAAACAAGAGGTGGGAATAGTCCTGAATATTAACTTAGCTGGGATGTTGCATCATTTTTAAGGCAAAAAAGAAACCTAGATAATGACCCCATTGGGTCCACACTCATGCTTTGTTTCTTGCATGTTTACAGTTGTGTGAAATGCAGGGCTGGACCTTTGTTCATTCTCTGAGACTGAGAACAAGTATATGAATAGTTTTTAGAATGTGTCTGGACTGGAAAAATCCACTGTACCTTTTATGGGTCCTTAGATTATGACCTTCTATCTTTCAGACACCTACACTGGCTACAGATGCATGACGTTTAATGGTTAACCTTGGCTCACGTTGTTCCCGCTTGTAGAAATGCTTTCTCACCTCTTTCTTTGGCTCTTCTGATCCCGGTATCCTGAGAGTTGGTGAAGGCCAGTCCTTTTAGCCTTTGTGTTTGCACCACTCATGTCTCTTAGCCAATGTTATTTAGCTTACTTGCTCCTGTGTCTTCCTCCCTACTGGGCTGTAAGTTCCTTACAGGCAAGGAGAATTTCCTTTTCCTTTTCAGTTCTATGGGTCCTGCACAGTATATAGTGTCTTATGATAGCTCAGTAAATGTTTATTGAGGAAATTAATGTTCATTGTAGCTTTGTATGTCTGTAAGGAGGCGTTCAGGTGTATTATAGTTGGCTAAACTTAGAAAAGTGGGACCTGATAGCTTGTCTACACTGTGTTAAGAATTTCAGAATGACTTCACAATTAATTGTATCTATTTCTTGTACACTGTTAAAAAAAATTCAATTTTATTATAATTATCAGGCAACATGCACTGCCAATGCTATGTCTGGCCTAAGGGCCAAGTTTAGCTAGATGGCTGTTTTTATATTGCCCACAAACTAAGAATCATTTCTACATTTAAAATGGTTGGAAAAAAAATCACAAGAATAAGATTTTATGACACATGAAAATTACACAAAATGTAAATTTCATAGAATTCAAGTTTTTGTGGCATGCAGCCGTGAGGCTCACCCATTTACATTTTGTCTCTGGTTTCTTTTACGAACCATAGCAGGGTCGGATGGCTGTGACAGACGGTGTAGCCCTTAAACTGTTGCCTTCATAGCCCCTTGCAGAAGACACTTGCTGGTGCTGCAAGTGGGCTAAGTAGAGGTTGGCCACAGAGCGAGTAGGCAACTTACAGAAGAAGATTAAGGAGCTTGTGGAACTTGTTCTGTGTCTTTTTTTTTTTTTTTTTTCTTAGTGTATTTTGCATTTTAATTTTCTTCCCTAGCAGTAGGAAGTTGATGGGTCAGGAATAAGTTTACTCAACAAAATGAAGAGTAAAACATAATTTTTTTCATCCAACATGTTTGAAAGCTATGCTGGCCACAGAACTGGACACCTAGGGCTTTTTGATACTTCAGTAAGGACCACCCAAGTCTCTTGTAATCTCTGTCATTTGTCTCTTCCTTGTCCCACAGCCATTTTTGGTCTCTTTCCCATATTTAGGATTAATGCCACCTTAGTGGCTGAGAACATTTCTTTTCCTTGGTTTAAAGTTGGAAAAATAGAACAAACAACATTTATATGACTTAGTTTAATATAAAAATATAATAGAGCAAAATTAGGAGAATGCTACTGTCATGTTGGTTGATTTCTTTTACCTTCTGGTGTTCATGTTTGGATTCGAAAAACATGAAGGTTAAGAAAATGAGCCCAAACATGGAAGACAGTTGAGAAAGAGAAACCCTGCCACCAGTGGTTTGTGCAGGGAGCGGCAGCCGTGTGCTTCCGAACCAACCCGCCTTTCCAGTTCAGAGTGCAGGATTGTATCCATAGGTGTGGAGCAGCTCTTCCGGCCCTCGCTTATCCTGCTTGTACTTAGACTTTCGGTGGTAATGATATTGGGAGTAGGGAGAATCAAGATGAATACATATGTATTAGTTTCCTAAGCACACAATATCATGGATTTCTTAAAAACAGTAAACATGTATCAGCTGAACAGATAGAAAAAGTGTTTTATTTCTAAATGTTTCCTGATTTATCATTAGGTGGTAGTTTTCAATGAACTGGAGTGTCTCCTTGTCAAGCTGTGTCGTGTCCCCGGTACTACCAGTGAGGCTACATTTGTGCTTATACCTTCTAGATTTTGTCCCATCTGTCCCCCATCATCAGGAAGTGGCTACTCCCCCAGGCCTGTCTACCCTACAGTCACCTGGAAGGAAGCCAGTACTGGCATTCTAGGTGGCAGTGTGCCCAGACTGTCTTTAAAAAAAAAGTATTATCTCGCTACTAGTTAAGTTTCAGGAAGGGTGACATTTGCTTTTATTTTGGGAAAGACAGGAGGCAGATATATTAGAAGCTGTCATCTTCTTCAGAAATTAGTGATTATACTGGCTTGTCCTTTCGCTTTCCTTCTCCTGAGTTTGGGGCTGATGGATGGTCTGAGGAGGGGAAGGACGGTAAGTGATACTTGGATGGTTTGTACTTCCACTGTCATCTGGATTTATGTTCCTTTCCTGTTTTAGGGTTCTGTACATCGGCCTGGCCTGCAATACAGCTCGCTATATTTATATTTCCTACCTGGAAAACGCCTGGACCGTGCTCCCGATGGAGGTGCTGCAAGGTGAGCTGCCGGGGCCGCGGGGCTTCCTCAACACACTCCATCTGTGTCAGAGGCCTCAACAGGGTTCTGCAAAGGAAGGGCGGGCCTCCTGTGCCGCGACTGTGAAGTGGTTGTCAAGGAAGAGGTGACGTCAAGGGTGCTGGTTCTTCAGTCACCTACAGTGCTGTTCCATGTTGAGCCGAGCAGGCAGGATTTGACCCACACCCTTGGGATTATGCAAAGAAAGAACCCTAGATAAACTCTGTGTATGGTCATAAGCGCAGGCTTCCAAAGGTGGTTTTAGAAAAGAGTTTATGTTTTAAAGGTTTTGGTTTTTCATTTTTTAAGTTAACTATAGTTACTTTGAAAATATTATTGTTATAATTGTTTTACCCCTGGTTCTTTTTATCACAGCTGGTGGTTTCTAACTAGAGCTTTATAGTCATCTGTCTATTTTCTATGAACCTTCTAAATCTTGGCTCAAGTACCCTGACCCAAGTTCTTTCCCTTGTTTGTTC